GCAAAAAAAATGTCATTTGGTTTCTTGTTCAGGTGGACCTGGTGAAAAAGTTAGTGTGGGCTTGGATCAGCTTGGTAACATGATAATAAAGATGCAGCACAACACACAGGTGAGGTTCATAGAATCTTATTTTCATGTTGACCTCATATTTAAAGACATTAATTCTGGGCTTGGTGGACATGTTTTTCACATACGAAAGGGCCATCTCAATTGAAAATTAAGTGCATGGGGACACCCGTCGCCAAGCGTACTGTGACTTTGTCGTCCTGGTTGAATTCATTAGCAATCAATTTCATTAATGTGGACATGCATGATGTCCTCTTTTGACTGCAGGAAATGTTCCAAATCCTCCTCTATGACGACCAGAAGATACATTGACCGTGTAACATCATCTTCATCGATTGTATTTAATCTAATTGAAACACTCAAGGTGTCCTGGCATAAAGAAAACCCACACTAAATAAAATCTGACTCAATATTAAGTTGAACTTTTAGAAAATGAATGTTTATTCCCAACCCTTATTTAAATATTATGGTTCAAACGTATAATGACACATAATAGAGAGATAAAGAGTAGCTCATGCATGCTTTCATTATAAATAGGCTCTATTAATGCAAAACATTACTTCTAAATCCAACAAAACAACTAGAAATGTTTGTACAAAATGCTGTTGGCAGTTTTTCAAGACCAAAGCAAAGAGTTCACACTTTTTCTTATGGTCTTGCAATCCCAGTTAGTTGTAGGTTAAATCTGGTTAATAGTTTATTAGTTTAATGAAATATTCACCCAGTGTTTACAATGCTTAAATGCTCCCAGGTGAGTCCCTGATGGAACCATCAGATAGATCTCTCGGCTTTTCACTGTGGCAAACAAGGGGGGACGAAACACACCTACAGTGAGCCCCTGGGAACAGTCCCCCTTTATCTACAGATAATCATGTTTTCTGTTGTTTATAAATGACTTTTGCTCGTTTAAAAGTCAATCCACATTACATTTTTTGTTGAAATATTGAAATCACTCAAAGTAAATCACTTTTCTGCTTTATTTGTATAAAAGGATATATCAATTCATTAGTAGTAATGTAAAACACAATACCACACTGTTGTTATCATGCTAAATGGGCTAAATTGTTTAATATATTTTCACTTTTAAGTAGTTTGTAATTTAGTTTAAAATGGAGCTAAACAAATAAAGTAATCTTAATATTTCTGCATAATCAGCATTCAAGGTTTAAAACATAGCACAAATAATTAACGTTGAAAAGCCCAATCTATCTGCCATTAAACTAGCATTAAGGACTCCTTTCATTGATGCAAACATCCAGCCTATTAGTCAACCTTAATGGGGAACAGAGCATCGTTTTCATCATTTAATCATATATTTAAAATTAATAATACAAATCTTCCAAGATTGTAATACAAATGTTGGTCCAAACTAAAGGAAGCTTTCACTTAAAGGCAGTACATGGCAAAATATCAGGTGGTCATCAATTATATTTCACTAGACGTAGATTAGACCAAATGGATCAAAGACAGACAGACTGGCTGATCCCTGTGGACACCAAACTTTCTGCCTTTTGGGTAAAAAAAGATTAATAATTGAGACAGAGAATATAAAGATTTAACAGGAATTAAACCTTGAACACCCATTAGACATAATGTATTTTTCTCCAGACATCTTATGAAATATATTTATTGGCCTCATGGAATTTTACTTGCTATAAAATGTAAAAGCCTGCCATATAAACAAAGTGCTCTCCTCGCCTCTCCGTCTGCTCTCACTTTATTGCTGCAGTAGAAAGGTACCTTGGGTATTATCAATGGCCTTATACAGAAACGTTTTTCAAAATGGCAACACTTCTCGTAGTGTCAAAACATTATCGTGAGCAATATTCTTAACATATCAATACAAATATAAAAGATAAGAGACTTCTTTGTTCTCCTCATGCTTTCGGTCTTAAACTCACCCTCATCGCTGCAGCCAGGCCCCATGCAGGGCTCAAAGTCCTGAGTGTGGGGGCAGGGCACACTGAGGTCCAACTGGGCCTTCAGCATCCTCTGCCTCATCCGCTTTCCCTTTTCACAAGTGGCCGAGCTGCAGGCGGACCATGGAGACCAGTTGGAGTAGATACACGTCTCTGGAGTGTCGTCTGCAAGGTAATGAAGGGAAAGCAGACAGTGTAAAAGACTAACACAATGTAATGGAAACTGTGCCAGCTTTTATGTCTATGTCCAGTCAGTGATCTGTAACTAAGTTCATTAAAGGGATAGCAGAAGAAGGAAAGCTGAGTTCTCTTGCATGCAGACTCATGGACCAGGATGCCTTGCATGCAAGCTGCTGATGCCCAATCAAACATGTTGTTGCAGAGTTGTGTCTATACTGTACCTATTTAGGTTAAAAAAAAAAACAGCCTGAACCAAGAGGGCAACAACTCTTTATTATGTTCAACTGTGAAAGGCAGTGCAGTACAGCTTTCTAAATTCTAATTATACCTTTCACAATAAAAGACACCATTTTATTTACACAAGACGAGTAGAAATTCAAGCTGAAGTAGTTTGTAGTTCCTCCTTGAGTCAAACTACGTCACTATGACATCAAATGATGCTGCTGTTTACAGGCAGTACAACAGCTTTTCAGCAGTGAAAAAGCTGCTATAAAGCACTCTACCTGAATATTCACTATAAGACGAGTAAAAAAAGGTTACCATCACACTGATAGACATCCACAGCAAATGGGCCAACCTTCTCTTTTAAATGCGCTTTTAATAATGTATAAGAGAGAGAAAGACAGAGAGAGGATACAGACCTTCCTCTTTCTCCTCCTGGGCAATATCTGCTACAATGTCGTCCACATTGTCTGGCACAACGTTGCACTGTTCTCCCTGCAGACACACAGACACACAGTTATGTGGGAACACACTCCAGCACTTAGTAGATGTTCTTTCTGTTTGCTCTTATTCTTTCTGTTTTTTAAAGCAGTCAGAAAGAGTGACAGCCAGCAAAGGTCAGCTTACACAATTACTTCAATCATGGTATTCAAACAATACACAGGAAGCAGACAAATTGTATAACAAATTATGGTGAAAGACCATGCATTATGCAATTCTGAAAGTATAAACTGAGCGTGTGTGCTAGAGTTTGTAAGTAAATGATGATAAATGGGTTGTGGCAGAAGGATCATGAACTCCCCGCAGCTTCCTCTAGATGCCACTGAAGGACTGCTAACCTTTAATGCAGCCAGAGTTCCCAGGGAATGCATTTCACCACCCATTAATTTATAATTAGAAAAAGTTCATATTTCATTGAGTGAATTTTTAATACCTGCCATAAATGTTTTCATTAACTTTTTTCATTGCTTTGTGTCATTTTAATTGGCTGGAATAATCTTAAATCTGCATCCCAACACATTTGAGACATCATTTTTTATTTATTATTATTCATATTCCTTAAGAGTAATTAACACGGGTGGGGAATGGTCAGCATATTACGATTAATAATCATTCATGTTAATTGAAAGAATATCACATTGGAATATCTGTAATAACCTTCCTTACTAGTGAGTTTGATATATACCCAACGACACATTACATACTCTCTCTGACATTTGATAAATAAGATCTAACTTGGCTTGTGTTTCATTTTTTCTTCAATTTCAATAAGCAGGGAACAAATTGTGTTGACAGGTGTTCAAATTATTTCTTTTCACCTTGTACTCCCACCCAGGGCACTAAAACACACAGGACTCAGACCCAGCACTAATCAATTGCTGTATTGATGGACAGACTTGAAGCCCCCGTCATACCTGCTGAGCTGTGATAAAGAAAAGGGAAAGGTGTCTCGCTCTCTGCTTTTAAATAAATCCATATTTCATAACGATTGGAGATAATTAAGGATGCCAGTTCTATTTTTATGTGGATTGAATTTGGCTGTTTTATAAGTGTAGCAAAGAGTCAAGAGGGGTATGCGTGAACTAAGTTTATATGTGAAGAGGAGTAGAACTGAGCTGGACATCCTGGAAGATCACCTCAAAATACAGCAGTAAAGCAAGAGTATCAGAACGTATGAAGAGAAAACTTGGAGAAAAAGTCAAAACACAACAGAATAATTAAATACTTTTTCTTGTTTCTACTGGATGTGATAAGAAAGGGCAAAAGACTACAACACAATTAAAGCCTTATTAGCATATTGTGGTGGTTATCAATTGTAAACACGCCTAATGTTTACCTTAATCTGTTAACTATATTTGCTTTAAGAATTGACTGGTATGACCTTTCTGGCAATGCGGTCCACTATGACCCTGGCCACAGGTATGATGGCGCCCCCTTCAGGGTCATAGAAGGGGCTCTGTGGGTGATCCAGACTGGTCAAGGGACGGATCTTATCCTTGGAATCAATGGGCTTGTTGGGAGACTGAAAAAGGACAAAAAAGACAGAAAAAGATACATAAAAAAAACACAAAGCCGGTGATCTTAGGGATTTCAAATAACACACTGTCAGTATGAGAATGAACACAAAGTCACTCAAAGTTACTCAAAGTGCAAAGGAAAAGTCACAAAGGTATAGAGCAACTGTGTAGGAGAGATGAATTGTAAAAGGGAGATGCTCTTATTAGTCAACAGTAAAGGTCTGCCAGCATGGGGTTGATGGAAGAACCACCGCCAGAGGCTGACGACAGGCAGAAGCTCATCCTTCACCCCCCACTGAGGCCAGCAGAAGGAAAAAAAACAGGCAAGAGCAGTTGTGTTTGTGTTTGTGTTTGAGAGAGAGAGAGGGAGAGGGAGAGGGAGATAGGGAGATAGGGAGAAGGGTAATGAGTGGCCAGTAATTAAAAGATACAGTACAAGTAATGGGACGGAGAATGGATCTCATTACTCTGTTGCAGGCCTGTGCCTTTAACAATTTTGTTACACAGACACAAAGTCCCTTCCCACTTCCAGAATAGCCTTTGTTCCTACACTATCCTGCTGCAAAATGTATTTATGGAAAGAGGGTTTCTTTCATTGCTCTTACGAAGAAGCGTAATCATGCTTCTTGTGTGTTTTGTTGTCGCTCTCTGATTAATGGGTACTACAGTCTGAGAAAGTAGTGATTTGAACAAGGATAGCAGTCCCTTCATTTTCTCGGGAAATCATGTATTTGGACAAAAGGGGCATAAGAATGGATCCTTGAGATTCAGATTAAATTACACCACGGGTTACAGAGGAGACACATTTAATTGCTTTGATGCTAAAGAAAACATGATTATCCTCAGGCGCGTTCTTTGGTTTTTAGGGAGCATATGTTTGTGGATTTATGATAATATATTCAGGGGTAATGATATTTCAAAGTAAAGCATTGGTAAGAATCCCCAGAAGAAGTTGACATTTTGAACACTGCTGCAACTCCAACTGGTGACTATGCTATAAAAATACCAATCCACCTAGTCAAACTACAGAAACGACTTCCTGTGGATTACAAAATGTAGTCCCTTTTAACTTACGGTATCTTCATTTTAAGTCTCACAGCCTTGAAACCCCTGCTGTATACAATTTAAATACTGCACATTCAGTTTAAAGACTGTAGTTATATCTATGCATGTATGGATCAGCATATGGCAAGCTCAAGCTATGTTTGCTATTTAAAAGTACCCGACTTTTTGATAGTTCCTTGCAGTCTGTAACAGAGGACATAGTCAGTCTAGTAGGCTCTAATGTGTGTGTGTGGTGTGTGTGTGTTTGTGAGAAAGAGAGAGAAACAGAGAAGGAAGAGAGTGAAACAAAGAAGAGTGAAATTATCCCTGAGGCTGGCCAAAACAAGGAAGCGAGCACAGTTCAGTGGGTTCATCTGTGAGAAGAGCCAAAGGTTTCTCACATGTTGTTATAGAGTTTGGTCAAACATGCGCACGCACAGCCTCATCTGTTAGTGCTGACTGGAAACACGGAGCACGCAGCAGGCAGCACCTCAGGGTGAGGGCGGGAGGGGAAGACGCACAAGGCTGTTGAAGGAGAATTGGATGGGGGATGACACTTGAATTGTTGTAGACGGGCAGTGTGTGAGGAGGTGAGAGAGGGAATGATTGTGAATGTGGGCAGACAGGAAGAGGAAGAGGAAGAGGAAGAGGTTGGCGTGATGACAAGGTCAAAACGTGAGTGTGAAGGGAAGACTTGAGAGTGAGGAAGAAGGTCATCCAGGGGGTAAAAGGTGGAGAGAGTAGCAGCCTGTAGACGGTTGTGATTGCTGTGAGACTGTGGGGTTGTAACCTGAGTTGAGTCATACATTCAGAGACACTGTTGTGACTGTTGTATGATGATCAAAGAGAACTCATTTCCCCCTAATTTGGAATTCAAGTAATAACGACTGGTACATTTTTAAATTGAATACATTTGAAAAGGATGTTTCACAAAAGAATTAAGGTATAACTTGGACTTGGAAATATGGAGAAAATAATGATCACAATATTTCTGATTTAATACCCCAACATTGAAATAGCAAGAATATTGAAGGGGTTGACTCTGGGTGCTTTCACAAAATACTTACAATATGAAATGTTCGCTTAATAATCTTTAGTAATGTCTATATAATTGGCTAGGTGGGTAAAAGCTAAGTTCAGAAGATAACATGGCTTTACTGTTATGCAGCCTTAAATATCAGGAAAATATACTTGTACCGGTAATCGTGTCATGTTAGAGGATATGTGGCCTCATACCCTGCCTTCTTCACCAAAAATACTGGAAATAAATAAAAGTTAATTTATTTTCCCCCCATGAAACAACTTAACACATTATATTTTTTAAAAGATAGATCAGTCATTAATAAAAACACAAGCCAGTGTTTCCCATACATTGATTTATTTGTGGTGGGCCGCCACAATTAAATATCGTCCGCCACAAATGGATCTCATAAAAAAAAAATATATATAATTATTTTATTTATTTTATTTTGTTGGGTCTTATGGATAGTGAGGTCGGCTCATGATCGGAAGGTTGCGAGTTCAAATCCCGCCTGGAACACCACTACTAGTGTGCCCTTGAGTAAGGCAGCAGTTACTCCAGGGAGAATGTCCCTGTAATTGGTCATTGTAAGTCTCTTTGGAATAAAGCGTCTGTAATATAATAACGAAGCAGTTTTGTATTTACACTTAGGGGAACATTACATACTTCTTCTAATTAATATCAAATTGTTACAGTCTTTTTACTGACCTCATATGACACCCCGCTGTCAGTGCCAGCATCCCAGGGGATCATGTCCTGCACCACCCTTTGGACCCAGCCACACTCCTTGGTACACAAGTCCTCCGCAGACAGACCAACGTTCCAGTCTGGACTGGGCCCCAACATGGTCAGGAAGGACATGAGGTGACGGCTCCGGTCCACGGAGAACTCTGCTGAGGGGGCGGCCCGCCTGAGGGAGAGAGTGATAATGAAGTCTGTGTGATTCAACGCCGTTTATAAGTGTGAGTACGGGAGAGAAAGAGACGTCAGCTGCATCCCAAATGGCTCACAAAGATGTGTCCTACACAAGACCTGAGGCAAGGCTGCATCTGCTCCACCTTTAATGAGAAGTCCAGCCTGAAGAAAAGCAAACCTAATGATGCATTTGGTTGCACCTAATAACCTAATGAACGCGTAAAGTCTAATATTTCCAATTGAGTCTCCAGCAAGTTGTGCGTAAATGGCCCACAAAGTGTAAAAACAGGGATAAAAGTTTCTGATATCCAAGTAAAGAAAGTTAATGGGAGGCTGTACGTAATTGAATTCAATAAAAAAGCCAGTGGGAAGGTTTATTAAATCGATCCACCAGTCTGGTACACACGAGTGAAGTTTATATCAAGGTTTTTTGGCCCCGATTCTGTTGATATTGGGTATGTGCGGTCGGATAACAAGGTCAACCTTAAAACGAGAAAGAAAGATAGAACTAATTGCATCCCCAACAAAAACAATGTTTTGCCAAGGATGCTCAGTCGGCTTTATATAATTCAAATATTTATATAAGAATAGTTTGAGGCATCATTCATAATGTTGATTTTCAAATCATTATTATAAATAACTTCCAGAAGCACTGCATCCCAAAGTCAGCTTTCTACCTTCTCCTCTCTCTCTTTTATTTTTTGTTGTAAAAATATAACATGCATATTTAAGAAAATAATTATAACAACGTAGTCGTAAAATACATTCAGATTACACTTAAAATGTAAATCGCTCAAGGAAAGAACAATTGGTTATTATTTATGAAATCATCGATGGCACAAGCCAGCTGGATAGGTTAATATGCTTAAATTATTGATACGATATCAAAGGTTTGGTCAGAGGTCTAATTGGGGGAATAAATGTACTGAAACACATTTGTAAGCATCAGTAGAGAATCCATGTATTTCAAGGTGTTAGAACTCAGAGTTACTCGCCCCTGTTCAAAGATCACCATTGAAGAGGAAACATCAACTCTCCTTTCGAGACAGAGAGGTACTTACACTGCCTACAAATTACAGGGAATGAGGGAAAGAAAATCGGTTGACATATTTTACACTCACATTGCCAAAACAAATCAATCTCCTCAATGTCTTCATTCCAGGACAGGAGACCAACACAAAGCTTCTGCCTTCTGCCTTGCCCAATGATTAACCACTAAACCTAAATAAGAAATACCCCAGCCCAAACTACAATAATTAGGAGTGGGAAGGTTCTAGTTGTGAGAGACAAGTCACCAGTGACTACCTTTCACTTGTCACCCTACCCATATAAGTCCATCTGACTTTATTCAACTCACTCCTGCCCTTGTGCACTCTAATAATGGCCTCTGAGGATGTGAAATAGCCCTTGTCCCCATGGGAACACACGATTTACCTCAACTCTCCCGGGCCTCTGCTCAGTGACTGCTGCGAGAGGGAGGCTTATCTCAGACAGCTACCTGGGCTCTTAACAAATGTGGAGTTGATAGAAAGGTAGAGACAAAGTCTGGGAGAAAATGAGGAAAGCATTAATCACCCTAGGTAACCCGAGTGAAATGCTTTTGTTATTCAAATATGCTTCTATTAATAATGATGTGCAAATGTCGAGAGGTGTTGATATGAATGCATGCTGTTGCTACATGGGCATTTGATTGCCTCACTATGTATAGAACATAAATGATTGCTTACAGCCCAGACAGAAATAACAGAGACAGAGGCTCATTAACAGCTGTAGTCTTGTATTCAATGGCTCCTTATTTCACCCGGTTGCCCACCTTACTTTTTATAGCTGCCGATCAAATGGAACCCAAACAACACAAAAACAGTTGTCTGGTTATTAGATAGATATGTGACAAGAGTGAGCGGTTGTTGGGGAACGACAAGGAGCACGCCGAGTGTCGTTTAGATACTGAAGCTGTCCTGGAAGGAACCATTTAAATGCAGTATAGATTGATTGGGTAGCGAGTGCGAGGACACAAAGAGTCATGTAGTATTTCATCATTATTTTTAGGATTTGAGAGTTATTTATTTCATCTATAAGACACTAACCTTCTTACTGAGTGTTTTTGTGCATTTGTGTGGGACAGTGTGTTTGAAAAGGAAAGGATTTAAGATGATATTCTGAGTACATACTGTAGTAGACACAGCCCAAAGTACTTAAGTCTTTCAGTTCGGGAACATGTTCCTTAGACACTACAATATAGAAAACACTAGATAGGGAAACTGAAATTGGTGTCTTAGACAAGTGTAGTTTGAGATTAAAAGAAGTGGAAGTGGATGGACATGCCGTGCGTTTCAGTGGCAGAAGCTTGCTGCTGGCATTATTAGTGCATACCTGCTATCTCAGTGCCTGCCTACTCATATACTCTTAGTCTTTGTCTGTGTAGGAAGCCAAAGACATAAATAACATTTAAATATCAAGTTTTTAATAACATTTTCATCCCTCTTTTCAGGAAATGAAAATCCATGCTAAAACTTAAAATGAGAAACAAAGCAGTTAAGACAACCATCGGAACACGCCATGCTTTTTGTCCAAATAATAAGAGCTTAGAGGGAGCTGAGGCAGGGTACACACACTGATGCTCCAATTGGCTAACATTTAGAGGGAAACTTCTGTTCTGGATTTATTTGTGAAATATAATGTTTTCCCATTTTCAGACTTGGTATATGTAGTTTCTTATATGTGGTTTTATGTTTGTCTGATGTCAAGCACATATAAATAACATTAAACACATCAGCCCATTGGTTTGGACAGCAATATAATGGTGAAGTATTATTTGAAATTGACATCATGCTGTTTAACTTAATTCCGTTATTTATTTGATGAACTTTTATTGTTCTATTGTTCTTTTATTGTGTATTGCGCCATTGTGATTAAGAGTCAGTTGAGCCAGAAGGCAAAGCTCAAAATCCAGTCCATCTTCATTCCTGTTGGGAAAATACTGAATGTACTCTTCCGATATGAGAGTAGCACATGAGAACAAAGGCCCTACGTAGCTGTGTACGTGACAGGATGTATGATTACCTAGAAGAGCGTCAGGACACACTGTTTTAGGCAGATGATGTGATTAACATGATGATTCAGCCTCTATGGAGACAGACATATGACAAGCATGATCATTTCTGACGTGGGTCTTAGCTAATCTAAACAAAACATTGTATACTGCTTTGAACCGGTATTTCTGCATCTTGTGACTGTGTAACACCCTCTCTTGTATATAAGCATATCAAGGACAATGTTCGGTCAACTAGTTGTATCGTATGCTCTGTATGTGATGACTACATCCATTCTTGCAAGGATTCATAAATACATGTATCCTGATATTGAAGCTCAAGCCGGTGGCGGGTAATATTTCTCTAACATTTCCTATCCTCACGAGTCATGAAAGATGGGTGATGATTGAAAGAACAAGATTGCAAGTACAAACAGCCAAAATAAGTTTTCATCTTGAGGGTTGCTGGCATCTCCCTTAGGGATAAGGTGAGAACTTCAGTCACCATTGAGTGACTTGAGTAGAGCTGCTGCTCCTTTGTGTAAGAAGGAGCCAGTTGAAGTGGTTTAGGCACCCGGCCGCCTCCCTAGAGAGGTGATGCAGGCATATCCAGCTGGGAGCAGACCATTGGACAGAACCAGGAGGACCAGGTGGAGGGATCAGACCAGAATTAGAGCTATAGTTGATGTGGCCATGGGAAAGGGAAGTTTGGGGCCCTCTGCTGGCAGCTGATTCCCACAGGACCCGACTTGGGATAAGCGATGGAAAATGGACGGATGGATGGATTATTGTTTCATTGCTGACATAATGATTTAATGGGCATGATTTGTTTAGCAAAAGCCTGTGTGCTGATACCTATCGATAGGTGATTAAGTCATCTTTTATTTTGTATAACAAGCATCCTTCTAATACTCTGGGTAAAAATTCCAAAGGTTTATTAATTATTTCCTCTTATGTATCCGGTCTCAGGAGAGCTTCTGCTGTAATATGTGTCATAATGTCAGTCACTTCTTCAGCCTCATTTCTTTCTCATCACACAAAGTTACTCTCCTATCACATCTCTGCTGCGTTGCCCATTGTTTCTGAAATTATTTCTTCTCTTTTTAGACAAATAAAATTGAGAGCTGGTTTTAGATGAAGTGATTACTTAAAAAACAAGCACTCCTTCTACTGCTTCTTGTTGCTGCTTTCTGTCTCTTTCCATCTATCTTATTCCCTTTTATCAAATGGAAGTTTATTGAAAGCTTTGATTGAAGACCATATGTTTAAAACAACTGGATAGGGATGACGAGATAATTGACTTTAATTAAGGGAATTGAATTTTTCTAATTAAAGCAAAATCCCTCCTAATACAGACATACACCGGAAAGGACAAACATGAATATGTACACAGTATTAGTGGAACCGAGACTCACAAACACATCCTGCTGTTGAACATGCTGACGTTAATATGCTTCTATGCATTTTTTAAATGTGAGGCTAATTAAGTCTCTCAAGACTCTTTAGACTTTACAAGATACGTCTTCCAGCTGGTTGAGTAAAGCGTGGACTGACTTGTAGTTATCAATACAAAACTGCCTTTCCTTCTCTGGCTCCAAATCAACGTACTTGTTCTGATATACACAATTATCGTGTGAAACAATTATTTGGTTGACTGCACAGCACACAGAAAGCTAATTAGTGGATATCATTACTTCTATTCCTGTTTCCTTGCCTTTTGAGACTAAAGTCATAGCCCTTGCTGAGGTCCCCTGGTTATTAAAACAACACAGGCCTTAACCACTGAACTTCTTCTGAGCCAGCTGAGCCAACAAGCTTCTTGTTTTTCTCATGAATAAGAGATTAAATGGCTCTTGTGAATTTAGGAGTAAATGCACACAAACACAGTGTGCATGGTGTGGCTGGCAGTTTCAGGGCACCTTTGAGCTGGGTTTTCACTGATCAGCACGCCCTGGGCTCCGCTAACTTCTTACCACTGTATCTGCTGACACTACGACAGTATCTTGTTTGTGAATTAATTACTATAACATGGCTTACAAGTTGTTGGAGCTGACGGCCCATATGAGGTCACTGTTGCCTAGTAAGCTGGTTCGAATCCCAAGCCAGTACATTTCAGGAAATGTCCTCTCCTCTATCTCTCGCTTTGAACTCTAAGATCAGAAATAAAGGCCCCGCATGAACTTGTTTATTCGTTTTAACGCAATATGATTTGATAAATGCTTAAAATAATCCATCACAGTGGACATATACATCTATGAGGAGCAAATTAAAATCGCAGAGCCACTAAACCATAGACCTATAACGGGTGCTTGGGCTCAAGAATGATTAAGTAATACAACACATTCACAGCTGGGGTTAGGCATGTAAGAGAGGAACCTCAACATGAGTTGTTAATTTGGCTGTTAAAGAAGAGGTCATTGTAACCCGAGACTCCCCAGTCGGTTGAAAATCAACAATTCCTTTTCCTACAAACTACTTATTATTCCTGTTCCATATGTGTGACATCAGGAATGTATTGTAAGGGTAACATGCTGTGATTGCACTGTGATTTATTCTGTTGAGCTGTTGCTTACATTGTCTTTTTGCATTGTGTTTGTATGTGCACCCCGAATTTAAATCAAATTAGCCTTGGAGGGAAATATGAGATAACCTTGAACCATGAAGTGCAAAGTGAATCCCATCTCTTTGATAGTGTCCAATCTTCATGATTTAAGAGAGCAAAGTGTGATTTGATGTGTTAAAGTGTAATAACTCTGCAGCAAAAGCCTAAAGAGGGAAGCAAGATGTTTTATTAAGTTAGTCTTTGTGCTGATTTATTTTGTACAAGATAGGGGAGAAAAAGGTCTGGTGATTTACAAATGTTGATGACAGTCTGATCTGATTTGATTGTAAAATATGTAAGAGTTGTTCCTATCCTCACACTGTTGTTTTTTTCAACAGTGTGAAAATATAGATGGAGCACTCTAATGTGGCCTACAGAAATGTACAATTATTATTTAATCTAATATATGTTGGGAATAGTTTTAAACATTGCGCAATAATACATTCATGCATTAATTCATGGTACAATATATACTATTCATAAGCCACGGTTCTATGAAGACAGGACTAGATGTTTAATATTAGGGGTTTTAGTCTCTATGGTCTTAAATATTGTGCACAGCGTTTTGAAAGAGAGGAGACCACCGTGCTTTAATAAGAATAACAAGAGCAGAGGAAGATCTTGGAATCTGTGGCAAAACTTTATCAAGTTTTAAGCCTATTGAAGTAAACTTTATACAGTCATTTCCAATCAACCTATTGGAAACTACTGGGTAGGTTGAAACATTGTAAAATAATGAAAAGATGATTTTCAATTTGTATTCACTTTTTTTGATTAAACTTGCAAAACCAGCAGCACAGTAAGTAGAAAATGTGACGATAGTTTTATGATAATCAGAATAAATCACTTACACATTGAATGGTTGCCAGGCCGGCCACTGTGCTTTCATTTTGATGACTGTCAGGACCTCATCACCCTAAAGAAGAGAGACAGACAAAAGACACAAAAGCTGAATCTCAGTCAACTAAAATAATCCACACTTTTGAAACATCCTGCTTCACTGCTAAATGATAAAAAAAAACAATGGAAGACTTTCCATTTACACAATATGGTTCATTATGGCCAGGGGATAGTGATGTTTTTTGTGTTCAAAGATTACACTTTTCGGCAAGATACATTTTTGAATTGGCCTCTGCTAAAGTTCATCAAACCTCAACATGCGCTTTCACATTGAGAGTGTACAAAAGATCATCCCTTAAATGATTACATTATTTTATGGATTTAACTTTAAGGTTTTACGACTTTCAGAACATTAATATAGCAGCAAACAGAATCAGAATTGCCAACTTTATTGCCAGGTAAAAGGAATTTGCTTTGGTATCTGGTGGAGCGAACATAAACAATCTAAGAAAAATAAGCTGCAATAGTGGGTAAAAAAAGAAATATATAAGGATAATAGAAAACAAGTATTCTTAAGAAACAATTTAGCATTAAAAAGGATACTAAAGAACAGTATTTACACCAATTTTAAATGTAACTAATACAAAGAACCTTAAAAGCTAAAAACAAGAACACTTAGGATAATGAGAATATGACAGCATATGGCTACAGTGTATTACATTTTAAAGTGGAGGGCTGTGCAGACATGTTATACATTTACACCCCCTCTGTACATGCTGTAGTCTAAGCTCATCTGTTTTCTGTTTGGGCTGACTGCATGCCTGTCCCTAATGAAAACATGTCAGTACAGCCTTGAAAATGGTAAGCTAAAGGAAGTGTAGTGTAAGTTTAATCAGAGAGACTATATTCATGCTTCATTCACTCTCTGCTTTTAATCAGCTAATTTCTCACTTGTTTACTAGATGTTGCCACGATCTCCTTCAGCCAATCAAGTGGCTGCTGCCAAACTTAAAATATATTCTCTTCTCTGCTTCTGTAAGCTGTCATTTTATGCAATATTGTTGCAGCAAATCTCCTCTTTCACCTTCAGCCTTGTCTTTATCTCATCACCATCACCATCAGTGTCTAGACCCCATGTCCCCAGGTTCCTATTCTACTCACAGCTTCACCATCCTCTTAAAATAGTTGATGTAAAAATGGGGTCCATTTGCCAAAGACTATTCCCATTTTTCAACCCTCAGTGCACATGTCAATAAAAACTCTGTAATTTAAATAATCTCAGGTTGAAATTGGTTAATGCACACAGTATCTGAAGTGAATACTGATAGGGACACCTGCAAAAGCAAGGTCTACATAAATGACAACAATACCTTAAATGATCCAATAAAAATGGACATTTACATTATAAAGCAGGGGTGTCAAACTCAAGGCCCGGGGGCCAAATCCGGCCCACGACTTCATTTTATGTGGCCCCGCAAGAGCATGCAAAGAGTATAATATGTTTATTATACGGTTACATGCCACTTTACAGAAGCAGGTTGCCCATAAACTACATGTCCCACAATGCATCTCGTTTTGTGACATGCGCACTGAAGAGACTTGCAATTATTTGCCCTGGACTTCTGCTTTCAGACGTAGTTAGTTATTACCCTATCCGATAAAAATCCAATTCAGAGGCAATAATGTAACATATAATACATTATTTTTTATATATATATATTATATAATTATATAGTTACAACCGGCCCTTTGAGTGCAACCATTATGCTAATGTGGCCCTTGATGAAATTGAGTTTGACACCCCTGCGCTAGCCGGTACTACGCTAAGTGGAAACGCAACCAAAAACGGGCCCCGCACGCTTAAAGCGAGCTCCACGCTGTAGTGGAAATGCGCCATGAGTAGGTAAACAAGCAGCCTGTACTGTAGCCCCCACCATGCTTATTGCCATTTTTCTGTAACTTTTTGATACTAAAACATGGACGTCATTGTTCATTTGGCTGTTTTACCGACAAACTAAGACTGTAGTAGAAGTCTGAGTATTAGAGTGTGACTCTCACCGAGACTGAGGGTGAGTTTGTTCTTGGCCGCCGCAGCAGTAACCTCCGGTCCCAGGAAGTAGTGGAGCAGCATCTCCAGGCCGAGCAGCTGGATGGAGGGGAAGCTGCAGGAGACGTGGACGCTGGAGTTCAGATTCATCCGAGACGGGATGGCCGAGCTGTTGAAGCCTGGAGTGCCGCCTGCAGAGGGAGGACAGAAAACAGTATTCATTTAACAGGGATCGTGCACATTAATCAACATTTCTGTAAATGTGCCAAAAGGATATTTTTCATCTGTCGTCCCTGGACAGATTTTGTAAGTCAACCTAAAGACAGATTTCATTTTAAACAAGTGAATAACATTACTGGAATACTTAAAGGTCACCTATTACGCAAAACCCACTTTTACATGTCTTTTATACATCAACATTATGGCAAAAATCATAATCTCGATGATCTTTTTTTTTAACAGTATGTTTCTAACAGTTGATTACCCTGAACTTTAAGTATAATTCAACTGAAAAAAAAAAATGAAAAAAAAGTAATAATGATAACATAATCGTTTTATTTCGATTACGTAATTTTTTCGTAATCGTTGCAAGCCATAATCGTAATCGCGATTAAAATACGATTAATTGAGCAGCCCTACATCAACATGTGTCCCCTCTTCTTCATGTCTCCTCTACATCAACATGTGTCCCCTCTTCTTCATGTCTCTTCTACATCAACATGTGTCCCCTCTTCTTCATGTCTCTTCTACATCAACATGTGTCCCCTCTTCTTCATGTCTCTTCTACATCAACATGTGTCCCCTCTTCTTCATGTCTCTTCTACATCAACATGTGTCCCCTCTTCTTCATGTCTCTTCTACATCAACATGTGTCCCCTCTTCTTCATGTCTCTTCTACA